TAGCTTAAACCATCAGGCTGGGATCAGATGTTCGTGACTGAATCAGGAGCCAATCAATGTGCTGTGGCAGTCAAAAAAACTAACAGTGTTAGCAACTGTTAGGAAGGGGAGAGATAAGACAGAAAATATCATAATGCCCCTACAGAAATCCACTGGCTGGCCACACCTTGAATATTGCATGCAGTTCTAGTTGTCCTGTCTCAAACAGATATGTTAGAATTGGAAAAAGTACAGAAGAGGGCAGCAAAAATGATTAGGGGTATGGAACAGCTTCAATCGGAGGAGAGATTAAAAAGATGGGGACTGCTCATTTTAGAAGAATGAGGACTAAGGGGGAGGGGGATAAGATAGAGGTCTGTAAAATCATATATGGTGTGGAGAAAGTGAATAAGAAAGCATTAATTACCCCTTCACATAACACAAGAATCAGGGGTCACCCAAGGAAATTAATAGGCTGCAGGTTTAAAACAAACAAAAGGAAGTACGTGGCATGTGCTGGTACCTGGCCTGTGCTGGCATCTGGCCTGCCAGCATCACACAAGGTCCTAGGTCTCAACTGAACGCTGAGAAATGCCTAGCTGGAAACCAGTCTGGCTCACCTGTGTGTTAGTATTGTTAATATAGGTGTTTGCATTTGGTGTTTAGACTTAATAAATCACTTGTATGATGTTGCATGTGTTAATCTCATTTATAACGTCAGTGCCCCTTGTTATAAGGTGGTAGTAAGTGTTTGCATTGTAACCCTCTGTAGTTGTGTAAGTCATCAAACAGGAAAGAGGCATTAATTAATGTAAAATGCTGGGTTCCTACAGTAGGTGCTAGGTCCTGTCCATCAAGAAGACCCATTGAAATCAAATGAACCATTGTGGAACATCAAAGGGCAAAGACTTCAATTGCATTCATCCTCCACCCATGAAGAGGAGAGGTGTGCATGAAGTCATCCCATTGGCTTGAACTCTGGGAGGAAGAGAATAAAAATCCCTAACAAGAAGAAACTGTATTTCTATACTGCTTGGACTTTGGGAGGGCAAGATTTCTAAGCATAAGCAAGGGATTCCCCAGGTGTTTAGCCCGGGTTAGCTCTAAAGGGCATATAGAGCTTGTATGTTACAGCAGCTTCTACCAACTTTTGGAACCTTAGACCGTAACTCATTTGTTGGTGTATGTTTACCTGCTTTAACCTTGTAAATAACTGTCCTATTTCTTTTTCTTTCTTAATAAATCTTGAGAAAGTTTATTATACAGACACTCCCTGGGTTACGCAAACCCGATTTAAAATCTGCACTTACGGAAAAAGTTCTGTAAGCTAGAAATAGGAGTGGTGTGGGTTTTTTTGCATAATGGTCGGAGATACGTTTCTGACTTATGCAAAATTTGAGTTACGCAAGGCATTCCGGAACTTTTGCGTTAGTTGGGGAGCGTCTGTAGTATTGGCCACAAGTGTTGTTTTTGATGTGGGATCTGAGGTGCAATTGACCTGGGATAAGTGACTGGGAGTAACCTGAATATTGTGATTTTTAGTGTAAGGGATCACAAAAGCAGGCTTATCTGGGTGGGAAGGTAGATTGGAGTGCCTAAAGAGACTGTCTGTAACTCCTTGCTAAGGCTGGTATAGTGCCTCAGGAGTTTACACTTGGTGATTAGTTGATGAAATCTAAGTATAGAATTCACAACCAGTTTGGGACTTGTGCCTGGCTTCTTAACAGTCTGTCCTGAGGTTGGTACTCTGGCTATTGAGGCACTGCAGACAGCATGACAGCATGTTCATACAATGCACAGTCAAGCTCTATATGCCCTTTAGGGCTAACCTGGGCTAAACACCTGGGGAATCCCTTGCTTATGCTTAGAAATCTTGCCCTCCCAAAGTCCAAGCAGTATAGAAATACAGTTTCTTCTTGTTAGGGATTTTTATTCTCTTCCTCCCAGAGTTCAAGCCAATGGGACGACTTCATGCACACACCTCCTCTTCATGGGTGGAGGATGAATGCAACTAAAGACTTTGCCCTTTGATGTTCCACAATGGTTCATTTGATTTCAATGGGTCTTCTTGATGGGCAGGACCTAGCACCTTTTTGTTGCCAGGGGATGTTGTGAAGGCCAAAAGTATAACTGGGTTAAAAAAAGAATTGGGTAAATTCATGGAGGATGAGTCCATCAATGGCTATTAGCCAAGGTGCTCAGGAATGCAACCCCGTGCTCGAAGTGTCCCATAATCTCTGACTGCCAAAAACTGGGATTGGATGAAAGGGGATGGATTATTTAATAATTTCCCTGTTCTGTTCCTTCCCTCTGAAGCATCTGGCACTGGTCACTGTCAAAAGACAGGATATTGGGCCAGATGGGCCATTGGTCTGTCCCAGTGTGTTCACACACAGCAGCTGGAGGAGGATATTTGCACTGTATAGCTTTTAGCCTTGTGGTTAGAACATTTGCCTGGGATGTGAGAGACCTAGGTTCAATTTCCCCCCCTCTCTGCCGGAGGGGGGAAAAAGGATTTGAACAGGGGTTGCTCCCTTTGGTGGTGAGTGTTCTAACCACCAAGCTATGAGATACTTGGGTGTGGGGCTCTGTCCATCTCTTCTCTTGAAGCTGTTGTACTGTAGTTGAATAATGAAAGAGTGATTGGAGGAGAGGGACTAGACTTGGGGTTTTACACCTCCCAGGTGGATACCCTAACAACCGACTACAGAGTCGTGTTCACACTCATCCCATAGCTCAGTCGTTAGAAAGTGCACTTGAGACGTAGGGTTTGCACAGTGATCTTCCTTCTTCTCCTTCTGGTTGAGAAGTTGGGAGTCAAACCTGGATCTTCCATATCCCAGATGAGTGCTCTGACTACTGGACTAAATGCTATAGCATGGGCTCCTCTTCCCCTGGATTGTGAATGGGACCTGATCCGCTAAGCAGCCTCTAAGCATGCCTACTGAATTGGGCCCTGCATGTGTCTTGCTTAGTTGAACACTGTTATTCACCTATCTTTTCCTGCTTTGTGATTTGCTCTGGGGTTTAGGCTGGAGATAGGCATCCCCACTCCTAGAACGAGGCAGCAGTGTGTATGCTCAGAGGCAGAAACTTAGGTGCTGAGTGAATTTAGGTGCCTACAGGGCTCAGTAAGAATTTTGTGGATCTCAATGAAGACTGGGACTTAGGTGCCAAAACCTGAGACTTAGGGACCTAAATCTGGGGTTTAGGGAACCTAAGTACATATGTGGATCAAACCTTAAGACCAGTCATCTTCAGACGTTGGTGGAGGTAAACTTGTAAGATGGATGCCTTGTTCCTGTGGTTTACTTGTGGTTCCTTGTTCCTGCAGCTGTCTCCGATGCTTGGTGTACAAGAAGACCCAGAAGGACAAGGCTAAGTTTACGTTAATATGGACTCCAATCTTCTTGGTTTCCTAAGATCAGTGTGGAAACCTGAGAACTTTTGCTAATCACCAAGCTTGTACAGCAAACATCTTTGATATATTGAGACAGCCCAAGGCTGAACTTGTCAATCTTGAACACGACAGCAGAAATCAGGAGTGCAATTATTTGCAACAATTTGTAGACTTGATATTCAAAGCCAGAAAAGATTTTGAGGTTGCATAAGATAATTTGGAGTACTTTCTTTGTTAGATGCAGGATTAGTAATATAAATCCACTGCAAACCTCTACATCTACTATATTAGACTTTTTACTCATGCAGTGTAGTTATAGCCAAGTTGGTCCCAGGATATTCGAGAGACCCGGTGGGTGAGGTAATACGTTTTATTGGGCCAACTTCTGTTGGTGAAAGAGACAAGCTTTTGAGATTACACAGAGCTCTTTTTTTCAGGTCTGGGAAAGGTACTCAGGGTGTTACAGCAAAATACAAGGTGGAACAAATTGTTAAGCATAAGGAGTGAATTCATGTCACAAGAGACCTTTCCAGGTGAAGTGGGCAGCTAACACCCCTGCAGTTCTATGGCAAAGGAGGGTTAGTGGGTTACAGATTGTAATGAGCGATAAATCCCGTGTCTTTGACACCATGATTTTTAGGGCAGGCCTACACTTGAACTACTGCATCGGTACAGCCGTAGTGCTTTAATGAAGACGCTTTAAGTCAATGGGAGGGAGCTTCTCCCATCGGCTTATTTAATCCACCCCTGCCAGAGGTGGTAGCTATGCTGGCTGGAAAAGCTCTTCTGCTGACATAGCTCTGTCTACACCAGTGCTTAAGTTGGTATAACTACATTGCTTAGGAGTGTGGATTATTCACACTCCTGAGCAACGTAGTTATACCGAAGTAATTCTGTAGTGTAGACCGGAGCTAAGTATCTAGCAAAATTTTGACTTTAAGCTCCCAGGCTTGTCTTTTGAAGGTGCTGTGCAGATTTTCTTGAGGATGGTGGCCTGATAGATCAGATATGGAGTGATTGCTTTGTGAAAAGTGTTCACCCATGGGTGACATGGTGTGTTTATCTTTTATCATTTTTCTGTGAGAGTTCATTTGGAAGCATAGTGATTGTCTGGTTTCACCCACATAGTTGTTACTGAGGCGTTTGCACTGGATGATGTACACCACATGTTATGATAGGCGTAGGTAGAAACCATGGATATTGAAAGGTGTGTTGTGGGAGATATTGATCATTGTAGCAGTGGAGATATATCTGCAGGTTTTGCATCTGGTATGGCAGGGTCAGGAGCTGCTTTGAGTTGGTGTATCCTGATCTGGGGGAATCTTGCTTCTGGTGGCGAGGTTGCTCCTGGAATGAACTCCACTCCCGCCAATCACAAGTTAGCTGTGTGACCAGGTCGTCATCTTCACCCTTTGGCCTCTTTTTTTTTTCTTTTCTTTTTTTTCCCCTTATGCTATTTTTTCTTGATTAAGGTCGTCCATAAACCAGCGACAGAGTTTTTCATATCATTCAAAGTATTTGTTTATTTTCCTCGAAGCCCAGTTGTTGCACAGAGGCATTGCTGTGTTCTGTATTTGAATCACACTTATTTGTGTAGAGCACCACTTTCAGTATACGGGAAACCTCCATGTGGACTATGTTTCCGAAGTTGAGTCCTGATGACCATGCTTTTAGTGCAATGGATTTAGCATCTCTCAAGGACTTCAGTATTGTGGATCCTGTCCTGCCACTTGCTGTTGCATATGGATCTTTGACAGTGGGGATGGAAGCTCTCCAGCTTTGATGTGATGTTGGTAGAGCATCCATGTTTCACAGAAGAGTGAGATGAGTAGAACAGCATGGTAGATTTTTATTTTGGTTCTGAGGTAGGCTCCACGTTCCCCCTAGTTCCTGTGGGTGAACCTCCCAAATGCCAACCTGGCCTCTGCCAGGCACTGAGTGATCTCATCATCCAGCATGGTTGCTGGAAAGTACGCTACCCAGGGAGCAGAATTGCCTGACCGAGTTGAGGGGTGTGTTGTCAGTTGTGATGATGGGATCATGGTGCTTGTGATGCTGGTGGTCTGTTGCTGGCTGGTACAGGACCTCTGTGTTTTTCAGGCTAATTGTGAAGCTGAAGCATTTTGAGGCATAGGCAAAGGGGTGCACAATTAAGCTAAATGTCCTTGAGTGTGTGTGCAATGAGGGCACAGTCATCAACAAACAAGAGCTCTTTAAGTAGCTGTTCAATTACCTTAGTGTGGCCCTTGTGTCAATGTAGACTGAATAGATCCCCATCCAATCTAAACCAGAAGTGAACACCTCTGTCGAAGTCCTGGATTGCGAACAAGAGCATGGCTGAAAAGACAGTGGCAAAGAAGACTGGAGCCATTACGCATCCTGGTTTGGTGCCACTGGTAGCAGGGAAGGCTTCTGATGAATGACCACACTCCATTACCCTGGCCATCATGCCATCGTGAAATGAGAGGATGACGACAATCCTCTTCGGGCAGCCGTATTTATGAAGGAGTTCCCCCATGATTCACCGTATCAAAGGCCTTGGTCAGGTCAACAAACACTATGTATGGATCCTTGTTCTGGCCTTCTCTAGTATTTGTTGGGCTGCAAACAACTTGTCCATGGTGCCATGGCCAGCATGAAAACTGCACTGTGACTCTGGATACACCGAGTCCACTGGGTGAGAGGTAAGCCCGTTGAGCACAACCCATGCAAGGATTTTCCCTGCTATAGACAGCAGTGAGATTCTGCAATGGTGGTCACAGATAGATATGCTTCCCTTCCTTTTGTATAGCTGGACTATACAAGCATCCTTGCACTCCTGGGGCATAGTACCCTGTCCCCAGATAGTCTTGAAAAGGCTGGTGAATTTCCTGAGCATGAGGGCATGTCTACATTTGTACACTTTGGGTGGAATGCTATCAGGGCCTGCAGACTGTGGATAGTTGTTTGATGGCCTTAGTAATCTCATCTAAAGAAGGGTTCCTGGACCGCTCCTGCAGGACAGGATCCTGTGGGAGTGAGTCAATGGCTTCATCGGACATAGTCTCCTGAACTATCAGTCCACTATCAAAGTGCTCTGCCCAATGAGAGAGAACAGCACCTTTGTCTGTGAGCAGCCGGTTACCATCTGTTGTGAGGACTGGGGCTGTACCACTGGATTTTGGGCTGCATGCAGCTCAGAATTCTTCATAGAAGGCCTTCATGTCATGTTTGTCAGCCACTTTCTGCAGGCTTCTGCTCCCACCAGTGGTTCTTCATAATCACACTTATTTTGGTACATCAGTGACATCATATTTAAGACCGCCAAAGACTTTTCCTTTTAGTGATACCTTTGTAATTTGCTAATTCCGTTCTGTTCTGTTCTGATCTAATAACATAGGGTAGAATAGCTTGTTCTGGTTTGAATATTTTTGAAGGGGCATATTGGAGATTATAAATTTTAATGTGTTTGAATTTTCTGAAGTATTTTTGGATTCTTAAATTATTTATAGTTGTTTCAAAAATAGCATATTTACAGCATTGTCAGGTGGATTGGTGTTCATCTTCTCCAACAACTACTTTAACTGCGTGCTTTTGTTCAATTATAACCATTCCATGCACATATCTGGAGAAACGTTTTCATCCACCAGCAAAAATGTAACTGCATTGACATACTAGTTAAAACTTTACAAATCTATTACTGTTAAAAAAGTTTATTTGCTTAATGTATTTGTCCGGTCACCAGTTTTCCCTCCTGTAGGGCTCTGACTTCAGGAGGGTAATGTAGCTGGTAGGCCCAACAGTGTCCTATGATTAGTTGATTTGTTTCTTATGAAGAAATAAAATGTAATGTGAGTAAATTTTCCACTGCTATGAGCTAGAAACAAAGAAGCTTATCTATTTAACTGTTAATGTGCCTGGAGAGCTTTGCCCAGTATTCACTCTTTATTCTCAAGGGAAAGCTGATTTGCTGACAATTTAAGGTCCAGCTGCATCATGGGCCACTGTATTAAGCACTGTATAAACATGTAATAAAAATGCTGGTCCCTGTCCCCAAAGAATTTATACTGTGTTTTCTTTACTCTTTGGCAGCTTAAGTTGTACATTTGAACAATGGCTTGATCATTCTGTATTTCCTTTCTTTTTTGTTTAGTGAAACAAAGAGGCTGGAATTGGAAAGAAAACTGTTTGAGTACAGCAAATCTGATACATACATGTAAGTCTATTAAAATACTACTTATGCATTATTTTATTTTCATTAGGACAATGTGGAGATCACTATATGCTTTTGAAATAGCATTGTAAAGTTTGTTAGTTTAAAAAAGAATTTAATATTCACATGTTCAATATAATATAGGAGCTTATTAAATGTCTGTCTGTTACAGTAGCAGAAACAGTTGATGAAAAATGTCTTGAGTGTCTAATGAAATGTGACCATATTCTCCTTACTCTGTATTATTACTGAAACTTTGTGTATGACTTTGTTAGACTTTCTTTCTGCAAAACCTTGGTGATCTAATTCATATGAGGAAGATTCAGACAATTGTTATGGAAGTTTACCACCCTGGCCATAAAGTGTAGTCTTTTATGATAACTTAAAAAAAGGATGATATTTTACGTGTCCCATAAAAACAAATAGAAACTGTCCCTGAGCAAATAGACCCCAATGTTCAGCTTTCCAGAATTCAAATTCTTTCCATGATGCGTGTGAATGAATCCCATTAAAGTAAATATAAATTAACCCATGGACATCAACAGGAGAATATTCTTTCCACAGTGTATACTGCCACTACTAGAAAATAAAAGGTGTGTGCTGGTATGATGGGGTCTATAAATCCCCCACAAAACAGACTGCAAGACCAGCCCTGCCCCTGCTCAGTTGTGAGAAATGTCAGTTATGGAGAGACATACTCTCAGCTGCTTTAGCTAATGAGGGCAAGCCCAAGTATTAAGAGGGAGGAAGAGGAAGGGAAAGGGTAGAATAGCTTGAGACTTCAAGGGAGTAGCAACTCTATCAGACTGAGAGATTTATAACCTTCTTGAGTACAAGGGAGGTAACCAGAGATGGAAGCACTGGGGGCCAAAGGCTTTTTGACTCAGTTCTATTACGTTCGTTGATTCTGCCTTTTTTTTTCTTGTTGATGGGATTTAAGCCATTGTTGCCCAGGTCCTGGACTGAGCCATGCTGCTTCGACTGGGACTTTGGACAAGGTGGTGCCAGTCTCTGCTGATAGCTTCTTGTACTTGACTTTTAAATAACCAAAATTAAAAAAAACCAAAATACCACAGCCACCCAGGAGATATATTAATGGTGAGGATAGAATTTTATTTTGATGAAACAGAGATGACTGCCTCTTCTACAACTTGCATAGTCACAAGTGGGAATGAGCATGGCTGTGATAAGAAAAGCACAGAGCTGGGAGTGGAGGAGTCAAAGCATCAGTGACAGCTGCGGGGAAAAACAGCCTTGTGGTATTCACAAAACTTTTCTTTTCCCTACTTCCAGCAGTCATGGGTAGGAAAGGGGAGCCTGGACAGGAGGCAAAAACCTGCCTCTCTTCTAGCCAAATTGAGACTGCTGGCAAGTGTTATTTATGATTTGTATTATGGTATTTGCCAAGAAGCTCTGGTCAGAATTAGGACCCCACAGTGGTGGGTAGGCTCTCTACAAACATATAGAAAGACAGTCCTTGCTGTGATGCTTCATATAATACAAATGAAGAATCTTTCTTCTTCAATCTCTTCTGAAAACACATGCATGTAGAATTGTATCTTTGGAAAACTTCATGAGAGATCTAATAACATATATATTCCTCTGATTCAAAAGATACATCCTCTAAGACTAACTTTACAAATTACAACCTGAAAAACTGTCTAGTATGTGGCAAGTGAAAAATATAGAAAATATCCTCCAGTTTTCATGCAGCTTTCTCTAGTAATAAAATAATTAAGGTAGAGAAAAAATTCATGTGTAAGTAAAAGAGTTTTGAATGGTAAAATGTATCAAATCAGTTCTAAAAGATACTGTATGAGGGATTGATGCTGTAGAAATGCTCTGTATATACAGTGAAATTGAATCACCAAGAAGGAAGAATAAACCATCACTGTGCATTCTGAAATAAATAATATTACAGATATACAGTTTTGATCTCTTAAAAAACACCGTTCTATTTGGCTAAAATTGCCTTCTGCAGTTGCTGGCCCACTGACGCTCCACGAGCATCCCTGGTGGTTTTGTTCCAGTGGGGTACTTCCTTGTCGGGCAAACATGTAATGCTAATTCGACCCTCTCTTTGCCTTCCCAAAGTTGAAGCCATAAGAGTCTACCCAAGCATAACTGTCCTTTATAAAATATATATAATTTTAATCAGTTTTTCCTGATACAACACATATACCAAAATACCAGACTCATCAGAATACACAAAGTAAATAAATAGGGTTTGGATAAAGGGAGGGGAAGCAACATATCTATCTTTAGGGTCTACTTTAATCATAGACCTCTTAAAAACCAGCTCAAATTGCTTTGAATTTTTTGGGCTTTCTTTTTCTGCAGAATGATAGTCATTTGTTAGCTGCGAGGTCAGTGATCTCACTGAGCCCTGCATTAATATTTGTGGGGATAGACTTTTCCATTTTTGCAGGAATAATTTTTTAGAAACAAAAGCTGCACATTGGAACCAGGCTGCCTTGTTACCAGGTAAACTTCAGGTATCAGGAATATTTCCAAGAATGAAACTTAAGGGGGAGGACTCTAATTTAGCATCAAATATGAAATTGGTTCTTAGACTGACCTCAGACTAGAAATTCTTGATACGGGACACTCCCAAAATATATGTGCTAATATAGAATCCAAGGGAGTTACATTTCCAACAGTGGTCAGCATTTATGAGGCCCATTACCATTAACCTATGTGAGGACCAGTATATTCAAAAAAATTTCTTTTGGTGAATAAGCTGTAGACTCGGGTCTCTAGTTGCTTTTTAAACATTAGATAATAGTGTATTCAGTGGACAGAGATAGTTGTGTATCCAAATCTCTATTCTAAGCAATTCAAATTATCAATCTTTGGCAGAGATTTTTGGGCCAAAAATAGTAAAAGGTTACTGCTGGCTGAATAAATCTAAGACGTTTCTTCCAAAATAATAACAATTCTGGGTTTTGTCCATCCAGTCCCTCCACATGAAGGTTTTGCCACTGATTTTTAAGGCTAGGGATGGAAGCAGAATTTTCTAGTCAGGTTTGACCAAGCTAGCCTCGCAGCCGTGATTGTGGGAGCTCTGGAGCCATCAAATCTATAATAATTTGATCCCACAATGATGTTAACTGGGAGATTGTATATACTCATTCATTCTGAACCCAATGTGGGGGTTGTGTGGTCATATCTAACAGCCACAAAGATGTCTGGCTTAACAAAAAGGAGATCTAGTTTTCCAAGTTGGGAAAACAAAATTCTCCCAGAGATAGGGGGAGCTATAATTTGTTCAGAGTCAGTCTAGGTTTCTTACCTGTACCCCAAAGGAATGTTCTGAAAATATTATTGAATTTCTTAAAATAAGTTTGAGGAATAGAAATAGAAAGTTCTGGGAAAGAAACCCAGCATGACTGTCTATTATATCGCCAAGCTCATGAGAACGATGATGGATGAGTACAGAATATGTTCAGTATGTACCCTGATTCACTAATACAGGGATGGGATCTCCCATGGCTTATGGACAGTCAGCCTAGGACTTCTTGTTTTTAAAAAGTCTGTCTGGCACTAAGAAATCCATCCTTCTCTCCAGAGAGAGCAGATAGCTTTCCCATGATGATGTGTGCATTTTGTCTGAGTAGGGCTCATATACTGGAAAATAAACGTGTGAAAAGGCTGGGGAAATCAATATACTGAGTTATTCATTTCCACTGACTGTCTGTCTGTTTCTCTTTTTTTATCTGATATTACTTTAGATGAGTTGGAATTTCTCTGAAAACACTGGCAGTTTGGAAGACTTAACGTTCCTGTCTATATGACAATCATTCAACAAACACCGTTCCTTACAAACCCAACTAATTTTTAATGTGAACTAATATAAATTGGTTGGAATTAGAAATATAATGCATGAAGTCTGAAAATATAGTGGATTTTTTGGGAAAGTTTGTTTGTCCACTTATTTTTGTGTCCTTTTGAATGCTATTTTAAAATAAAATTTAAATCTAAGTTACTTAGGTGTAGCATCTTGCCATTTATAATGTAGCCCTGAATAAATTGCTCAGATCTATACTTAGGCTTTTAGGAGAAAAAGAGTAATACTGAATACTGTACTAGCATTTTTTAAAAAATCTCTCTCCCATAAATAAACTGTCAAATTGTTACGTCTGATTTCACTGTACATCATAAAAAGTCTTGTTTCCCCCCCCATAGGGCGAAAGTAAACTTCATAAAACTAAAAAAATACTTAAAAGAAATACGTGAACGGCAAAAAAATGCTGTGTTGCGAAACCAAGAATTTTTAAAGGACTTTGATCGTATTGAAGCTCATCTTAGGACTTTTACAAGTTCAGAGGCACTTCAGAAATTGAAGGTAATACTTGTTTAAATACCATAATACAACAGTTGTAATAATACAGAGGAAACTAGATTGACTTTGGCAACGTGTTATGCACATCAACATTTCAGATATCAGTGAATCCTCGTAATGTATTTTTGCAATGCTTAATATTTGTCCCTTTGGGAGTAGGGAAACCTGAAATGAGCTAATGTGACCTTGTAGACAAATGGGTAGTCTGTAAGGCTTTATTATAGTTTGTGGGTTTAGTTTTGTGAAGTGCTGAGCGTCTCTTGTGAGATGCCAAGTGCTCTCAAATCCCTTGGAAGCAAGGAGGAATTGAGGATGCTCAGCACCTTGCAGGATTGCGCCATGTGTTTGCAATAATATTGTAGTTCACTGTTGTTATGCCAACTATTAGCCAAGTAGATGCTGCTGTTCCATGATCAGTTAAATTGGAACTTTGGGAAGGTTATGCAAAGTTTTCCTAATGATTTCTTTCCAAGATTTTTATTCTTTCACTAGATGGTTTTCAACTTTTGTAACAAAACATCATTGCATTTGGCATAGCAAAATAAAAAACACGTCATGAAACCAGCTGGAAGACCATCCTAGTATAATTGGTGGTGTCCTGCTTTGCTCATCACTTTTCCTCTTACTTTTCTATATTGCCTCTGCTGATGCCATTGGAAGAGTTTTAAGGGCTTGTCTTCACGTACAACTCTGCATTGGTGCAGCTGCGCCACCATAGCGCTTTAGTGAAGATGCTACTACACTGACAGACAAGCTTCTCCTGCCCTTGTAGTGAATCCACCTCCCTGAGAGGCGGTAGCTGTGTTGATGGGAGAAGCTCCCGTTGACATAGCACTGTCTACACGGGGGGCTAGGTTGATATAACTACATTGCTCAGGAGCGTGGATTTTTCGTGCCCCTGAGCAATGTAGTTATATCGGTACAGGTCTGTAGTGTAGATCTGGCCTTAATTGACTGATGAGGCTGTTATGTTAGACATAGTTCAGCCTTCTCCTGCCTTTCTTTACTGCTGCTGATATATCACCAGTTCATTGTTTAGTGGCAAGATTAATGGTTGGTTTCAGAGTAGCAGCCGTGTTAGTCTGTATTCGCAAAAAGAAAAGGAGGACTTGTGGCACCTTAGAGACTAACCAATTTATTTGAGCATAAGCTTCCGTGAGCTACAGCTCACTTCATCGGATGCATAATTAAAGTGGAAAATGCAGTGAGGATGTTTTTATACACACAGACCATGAAAAAATGGGTGTTTATCACTTCAAAAGGTTTTCTCCCCCCACCCCACTCTCCCGCTGGTAATAGCTTATCTAAAGTGATCAAGATTAATGGTGACCTCAGATTAGCTCTGCAATTTATTTGCATGCTTCATTCTTGTTGGTTATAATGCCATAATTTTTTCATTAAAAGCCAATTCTCTAACATTTTGATGGCAGGCACAGCAACAGGGAAATGTGATTCAGATGAAATCACACTTTTCCAAAGTTGATGAGAACTTTAAACTTTGCTATTGGGGTGATAAATTAAGGGAACTAGCCCTGTGGGATGCTTTACCTCATGTACTTTGAGTATAGATAGAAAGTGAACTAATAGGAACATCTGAGCATCAAATGACCAGATTAAGTGGAACCAGAAAATTGTAGAATTCATACTTCTGGGCTCATCTGTGGTGGCTGTTTCATGCAGAATCAAAAAGAAATCTGATAACTCCCAGCCTCTCTCCCCATTCAGACCCCTTACCAGCTATGTTTGCAGCCCTGATTATGCAAAAGAACTCATTGCTGATCTCACTGAATGTAATGTAACCAAAGTGTGCCAGTTTTATAAAGTGAGACGTTGTCTTAGTATGAAGGAGATTATGAAACTAGCGCTTAAGTCTGTTCTGCTTTTTTCATTTTTTACAAATTAAAGGCATTTAGTATGTAATGTGCAAAACAAAATAGTCTTTTCTTACTCCTTCCACTGGCCAGTGACATGGTACAACCACGGCCCTTCTCTTCTTACTGTATTGCTTCCTGGTCTCGGTCTATCACTAGAAAGATCTATTTTATTTGACGCTATGGGAGTGGGATGTTGCAATTAATTTTAGAAAGGCAGATATCATTACTATCTGCGTTACTTGTTGCTGGCTCACATGATGTAGAAGCTGTGCACCAAGCTCTGTCATTTTGGTCATCAGTAACTTATTATGGAAGGTAATAGACATACAACTCCTCTGACCCGAAAGTTTTTATGGTAATGAAGAAACTTTATGCTTGTAGGAATAAAAATAATGTTTAATACTCACTTCATGAGTATTCTGAGAGAGAATAAATTGCAAAGGGAGGTTGTGGAATCTCCATGATTGGAGATTTTAAAGAGCAGGTTAGAGATGGTCTAAATATCTAGTCAGGGATGGTCTAAATAATATCTAGTCCTGCCATGAGTGCAGAGGACTGGACTAGATGATCTCTAGAGGTCCCTTCCAGTCCTATGATTCTATGATCTGCTGAGGCTGTAATAATAGATCATCATCATAATTACCAGTCTGGTCAGTTTTTATGAAAATTTTTGACTTTTGGTCAAAAAAAAAGAAGTTTTTTTTGTTTGCTTATTGAAGAAAAGGTTTTTTGTGGAAAGTGGACACTTTTTATGAAAAGTTTTGTGTCATCAAATATCCAATTTTCTCTTGGGGAAAAACAGTTTAAAGGGGAAATTTTTGACCAGCCTTAGTCACATAATATTGACATAGTGATAACATTTTAATCTCATCCTGATAAATTGAAATTAGTTCTACCTTTTCAAAATGTAGCTTTCTGACACCAAGCAGAAGAGTAAAATTTTCAAATGTAGCGGTTTCTTTGCTGTTCAGGAAGGTACAGTCTCTGATCCAGATATATCTCTAGATCAGTGGTTACCAAACTTTTACAACCTGTGAACCCCTTTCACTAAAATATCAAGTCTCGCAAACTCCCTCCTAAAAATGAATATTTCCAGGGATTTTCTTCTTTACCTGAATATAAATTATAAAAGCATGATCTTGGAAATATAAAATTTGTTTTTATGACATGCTTATTACACACTATTTACTATTATTTATCATTATAGTATTTTTATTACACTATGAAAACAGCAACAATCTTCCAATATCTCACTTTCGTAGCTTGTATCACTTTGAATAAGCCTGTTATAAGACAAGGCCCCTGTGTTTCATCAAGGAGTATCAGATGTGAAACAACATGAAGGTATTTAAGAAGCCAACTCAAAGAGTTCCTTCCTCCTACAGAAGCATTCAGGTCTTGAGCAGTCCAGGCAAACAACGCATGTTACAACAAAGCTTAAACTTTTTCTTCATAATAATTTTTAAAACTACACTAGCTGCCTATTTAATTTTAAAAACAGCAAAAAATATCCACCTCCCTTTCCATTTCTTATAAGAAGTCTTGAAGTTTAAATCTCCTCCGTGTGATAGATATGCTTGCTTTGATCTGCTTAGCTCTTGGAAGTCCAGGGGCTCCGGGCTGCTGGCCCCGTGCTGCCGGCCCTGTGCTGCCCAGGGTTCCTAGGGACAGCTCTGTCCGCTATTAAGGAATTTTTTCCCAAGAACCCCCTGTAACATTTCATGAACCCCCAGGGGTTCACGAACCCCAGTTTGGGAACCACTGCTCTAGATGATATTGGTCACAAAGGCCAAGGGTTTTTTTTTAAAAAATGAAAGGATGTGTACAGTAGGCTCTATGTCCAGTTTTTGAAACCTAAGTGGCCCAATTCTTCAGAAGAAGTGTAGAGTCAGCAGCTCCTGTGGAAGTCATTAGGAAGGAAGCTGAAGAGACCGAGAGATGTGAGGGGACTAAGACTGATAATGAGAGGAAAAAGGATAGTTGAGAAATCCATTTGTGTTGGGAAGAGGGAAATAGGTAAGCATTCCTGAAACAGAGAGAGGATGAGGTGTGAACATAAACAGAAGAAAAATAGAAAGGAAGGAAAAAGTGTGAAATTGTACATGAGAATAGGAGAGAAGGCAACAAAGGGAGAAAAGTAAAGGAAGAAATGATGCACAGTGAAAATGTTAGAAAATTTAACATTTTTTGTCATTTCTGGCTCTCTTCCCTTCATACACACCCCAAATCCCTCATCAGGAGGTACCATATGAGTCCCACAGTGCATTTGCCTACCCAGGTCTTTGTTTTCTTAAATTTGTCCATGGAAATCAAAATGATTTTGAACAGGTGTGTCAAGTAGACTTGACCATTCAGAAGGATTGTGCCAGAAGGTCATATAACTGTAAAAGAAAAATGTCTGTGAGTGGGTACAAAAGGCCTATCTGGATTATTTTATGTACCCTACACTAGTGCTTGATTTGCCCGCCTGCTTCACCTGGCCAGAGATGGCATTAGACCTCCGCCCACGGAGTTGATTTGGCAGCTATTTCAGCCTAACTTCTTGTCAGCAAGTTAAGGAAGTATGGGCTGGATGAATGCACTATAAGGTGGGTAGAAAGCTGGCTAGATTGTCGGGCTCAACGGGTAGTGATCAATGGCTCCATGTCTAGTTGGCAGCCGGTATCAAGTGGAGTGCCCCAAGGGTCGGTCCTGGGGCCGGTTTTGTTCAATATCTTCATAAATGATCTGGAGGATGGTGTGGATTGCACTCTCAGCAAATTTGCGGATGATACTAAACTGGGAGGAGTGGTAGATACGCTGGAGGGGAGGGATAGGATACAGAAGGACCTAGACAAATTAGCGGATTGGGCCAAAAGAAATCTGATGAGGTTCAATAAGGATAAGTGCAGGGTCCTGCACTTAGGATGGAAGAATCCAATGCACCGCTACAGACTAGGGACCGAATGGCTAGGCAGCAGTTCTGCAGAAAAGGACCTAGGGGTGACAGTGGACGAGAAGCTGGATATGAGTCAGCAGTGTGCCCTTGTTGCCAAGAAGGCCAATGGCATTTTGGGATGTATAAGTAGGGGCATAGCGAGCAGATCGAGGGACGTGATCGTTCCCCTCTATTCGACATTGGTGAGGCCTCATCTGGAGTACTGTGTCCAGTTTTGGGCCCCACACTTCAAGAAGGATGTGGATAAATTGGAGAGAGTCCAGCGAAGGGCAACAAAAATGATTAGGGGTCTGGAACACATGAGTTATGAGGAGAGGCTGAGGGAGCTGGGATTGTTTAGCCTGCAGAAGAGAAGAATGAGGGGGGATTTGATAGCTGCTTTCAACTACCTGAAAGGGGGTTCCAAAGAGGATGGCTCTAGACTGTTCTCAATGGTATCAGATGACAGAACGAGGAGTAATGGTCTCAAGTTGCAGTGGGGGAGGTTTAGATTGGATATTAGGAAAAACTTTTTCACTAAGAGGGTGGTGAAACACTGGAATGCGTTACCTAGGGAGGTGGTAGAATCTCCTTCCTTAGAGGTTTTTAAGGTCAGGCTTGACAAAGCCCTGGCTGGGATGATTTAACTGGGAATTGGTCCTGCTTCGAGCAGGGGGTTGTACTAGATGACCTTCAGGGGTCCCTTCCAACCCTGATATTCTATGATTCTTGAATATGGTGATGATAGACAGGTTTGCATGCAGGCCACCACAGACCACTGTTTAATAAGGGGCTTGCTATTTTAAAAACAAACAGAAAATATAAATAAAATGAACCCCCCCCGTGATACAGTATATTAATGTGGCCCTAAGTAAGAACACAGGAATTTCCATGTTGGTTCAGACTAGTCCAATATTCTGTCTCTGACTGTGGCCAGTATCAGCTGCTTCAGAGTAAGGTGAAACTTCTGTAGGGTTTGAGGTTGGCAAATGTGTAGTACTATAACTAGATAGTCTTGTTATCTATTTGGGTGTCCAATCCTTTTTTGAATCCTTCTAAGCTCTTAGCCTCAGTGATATGTTGTGGCAGAAAGTTCCACTCGGTAATTTTACACTGTGTAAAAATGTATTTCTTTTTAATCACTTTTAAAAATGTGCTGCCATTCATTTCCTTTGATGCCCCCTAGTTTTTGTATTCTAAAAAAGAGTGACTAGCAATGCCTGATCTGCCTTCTCTCTACTATTCCTTCCTTTTTATCCGTTTGTCACGTTCTGGCCTATTCATCTTAAGGTAAAGCTTTGTATTCTCTTTTCATTTGGAAGTTTTCCATCCTTCTAATCATTCTTGTTCCCTCTTTTGGAACACCCTCTATTTCGGATATGTCATTTTTGAAATGGTTTGATTAGAACTGTTCATGCTGATGAAAATTCCTTTTGAATTCTAGTACCTTTGCACTTAAATCTCTGATTCGGAAGGTCCTTTTCCTGGAGGCAGTGACTTCAGTTTATAGAATGAATAATTTTCAGGTTCTAGTGGCTGACCCACCTGTATAAAATTCTTCAGAAGCAGAGAGCATCTTTGGAGGAAATTTAGGATGTGTTCATGGGTGGCAATTGATTTCCACTTTAATAAGTCATGCGTGCTTCTAACATCCTATGCCTGTATACCCATCCTAATAACTTTTTTTCATAGCTACCTCTGGCTTATATCTGTTAACTTTTTTTTAAATCTGTGAGCTGCAGCTGTAGAACGTCCTTTCCCCACACAGCTGGAGATCTGTTAGCCATGCCCCAGATCCCAACTATGCATTGCTGTAGATGGAGTCTGGAGGAGCATGCTTGGTTTGTAACTCCTTGCATGGGCTCACTTGCACCATACCTCTCCTTTAGAGTAGAACTGTTAACAGCTCTTCCTACAGACTGTATGCACCTGTGATTGGGACAGGAAAGATTGGCCTAAGGTTATAGATATCCTTCAGATTGGTGCATTATTCAGTGTGTCCTTATAAACAAAATGTGATGCACATTATGATTTAAAGTGGGCCCAGTAAATGTTGTAAATGAACTGATGTGGGCCCCAATTACTCTATATACTGTTCTGTATGTAATGTCTTCAGTACTCCCCTTTAGAAGTTCTTATACCATCATTTCATTTTTTTTTTTTTTTTTACTGGGTTGGTGCCATTTTTACTCAGCTCGTTGGAGAAAGCACAGCTCTCAGAGCCCTTGTGCAATATTGGTGGAATGATTCCACTGTCTGATTTCCTATTTGTGGCAATTTTCAGGATTAAATGGATTAATAGAGAATTATGAAGATAGTAATCATTCAAACTGGCCTATAGACGTGCAGGAAAAAATTAAGTTATTAATTTTCAGCACCTTTTCTTTTTTTGGGTGGCGAGAGAATGCCTGCAGGAGTGAATTAGCTTAACTCCACGTTCAGCGTATTAAATGGCTATTGTTACCAACTACTTTTCTTTACAAAAAAAGCTTAACTTGTTTCCGTGTGCTTCTGCAGTTTGTTCAATAACTGTTGGAAGCTTAACTGAAATAATTTATGTAAGCTTTTGGGAAAACTGAGTAGTTAAACATTAATTAGTTTGGAGTACCAGGTGTAAAATGCTTGGTTGAATATAGACTTTTTTTCCTTGTATTGCAAATTTTATGAAAAAATGTATGTGGAAAATAACACTTTTTATATATGCAGATTGAGAATTAAAGTACAGAGCTGTCCAAGTTGATTAGTTATCAGATGTATTTCTCCCTGTATACTACCCAATTCAAAGTACATAGTGAAGTGCACCCACTCAGGACCAGTGTAATCTGTTCTTAAGGTTTACAATTACTAACATGCAGTACTAATTATAGGTGCTGTATATGCTTAGCTTCTAAGCAATAGTCCTCCTATGACTGCGTTACTTTTGGTCAATTAAACAATGTAGTGGAGGAGAAGATATTTTTATGTAGTTCTTTGTTAGTAACATGAGAGCAAGTTGTTTTTTTCATGCTGTGTTGCTCTTTGTAACATCTGCAGTATATTTTCTCATTAGAATAGCTCAGCAAATTGTAAACTGACTTACATAAAACAATACAAAATTTAAAGCTCAGCATTTCACTGCAAAGCAGCAAAGTTATTATGTAGAAATAGCCAAAATAATCTGGAATTATAAAAAACATGAATAAATGTCTGAGTCCACAAGTTGTTGTTACTCTTTAGAATCATGAAACAAGTGAACACATGAAAACCCACAGGAGGATGCACAAGCCACATACAACATATGTTTTTCCTGGAAACTAAAACATATTTTGAAAGGAATGGTGTCTTTGGATGTTTTCTTATGAGCTGTTAAACATCTTTGTTTTTCTCAGATAAGATTATATCTTTGTGAATAACGAATTGTCTTACATTCCAGTTAATTACTTTTATGCCATTGATTTCCTTGATTACTGTACAAATTGTGCCGTATAAGTATTTGTTGATCTGTGTGTGTGTGTATGTATGACTACATTTTTATAATACATAAATCATTTATATGATGGTTCTATTTATATGTAGGTACAATACGAAGGAGAAATTAAAAGTATGCTGTCACTTCAGAAGAATAGCATGCCAATAAAAGGTGACGAAGATAGCAATGAGCAGGTAATGGAAAAGAAGTGGAAAACTATATATATTTTGTTACTTGAACACTTCGGTGTTCTCCTCTAAGGTGTACCATTCAGTAAATGGTTGTTGCAAAATGCCTTTTAAGTGTGGAATTTTTGCCATATCATTTCTATTGTGAAACAGTGCTTTCACAACAAAATCAAGCAGATAAATTGAAAAAATTGCACTAATATTTTTATCATGGTAAAAAGAGAACCATAATAAACTGAAGAAAAAGACCGGTGTTTGTTTGTTTTTCTGGTCAGCTGCTATTTTTATATTTTAATACCAAAGATTGTGAAAAGAATTTTAAACTCTGAAAAATATTCTTAATGAAATTACACAAAATACAGTAATTTATTTATATGACATTCATAATTTTGTACATTTTGAGCTTTTCTTGAAAGAAGCAAAAAAAATTGCATATCTAAGCAACAGACAAAAAGACTGACAAGGAATACTTAAATATATTCTGCTATATATCTGCAGTAATGCAGGCTTCTAATCCCTCCTCCTATCGCCGTATAAATGATACAGTTCAAGACCATAGCTGTTTTCTTCACTAAAAGCAGTAAAGCTCTTTTAGATGAAATGTCTAAAAACATCTTGTAATAACTTGGAGCATGCTGGCAAGAGTAGTCACTTGTGACTATGTGTGAAACCCCCTCAGCTAGTCGATATTGTAATAAGCAAAAATGGTAGAATCACTCCATTATTCAGAAAAGCCAACAGCATGCTTGTCCCTTAGGCTACAGCATTCATTAAGAAAAGCTTACTGGGCTGAAAGCTGGAAACAGATGATAACGGGATATGATTTTCATATTTAATGCATTCCTTGGAAGAGTATGTGTGCTGCAGATTGATAGAAGAATCAACTGCTACTTTACTAAAAGACTTTCTAGTTTGCCCTATAGCTACCGATGGAATCATTCAGCCAAGAAATTAACTTTTTCTCCTTTTACCTGCTTTATATATCTGCTAAGCAGGTTGCCTGGCTGCCAGTAAATGTTATTATGCAGTTAACTGTTTGGTATTTAAGACTCTTATCAGAAAAGAAACAGAGGCCACACTATTTTGTTTTTATAGTAGGAGGAAGGTTTTCGTTTTTCTTTCTTCAGTGCATTAGCAGGCATTAATCTGAGTTTATGGGAAGTTTTCCCCCATAGATTAAAAAGTTAAAAACCTTGAATTTAGAGCATTCTTTAACCTATAATATACAAAGCAATGGATCCGGCAACCTTGACTTATATAAGCAGGCCTTTAAGAATGCATGAATTATATATATTCAGTTTAGATGTACAGGAAGTCATAGAGTTCTGAAATGCTGAATTTTTCTATTTGTTAAATAATGTTTGGTTTGAAAATAATTTTCATAGAAGATAGACATTTTAATCTATAGAATTTTTCTCTTTATTGTACTTGTTACATAAATACCAGAATACTAGTGTTGCTATGGTTCCAAAAAACTCTTTTTCCCATTCAAAATAGAGAAACATTTTGGGTAATGTTAGGAAGCTTAATACGAACCCAAAATTGTCAGTTTACATTGCATTAAAATGATAGTTAAAATTGGGGGTGGGTGGGGGGGTGAAGGTTTATTTGCTGTGAAATACAAAGATGGCGTCTTTAAATTGTTCTGTGGGTATGATGTTTAGAGAGAGATTTTAGCTTATCTGAGTAGAGGGTGGGTAACATGAACACATTAGTGCAACTTAAAACAAAATATCCTTTTGGTGGGTGGTTGTAATTCTGATTTTAATGGCTCTTTCTGCAAGAAATAATCTGAAGAATGTCCCCACTTGTTTACATCTCATTTCGTTTTCAAGAATGTTGTAATTGTTGTTGTTTTTAATTTGGCACTATTTTTGAGCCTAATCATGCCTTTTTCCTTCCCATTCTTAAGTTGACTTTAGATCTCTTTCATTCAGATATGTAAAGAAGGTGAAAGTCATTCTGGTGCTTGGGGTTTGTGCAGTGCCATCAGCATCACTCTAAAGTCCTGCAGTGAAGCAGTGACAATGCCACTAGCAGAGTGGGTGGCACAGAAGGTTTCCCTGTGAGGTGGATGATTGGCACACAGGGTGGCATTGTGGATGGGAAGGGCTATGGACTCTGCCACTATTTGGAGTCTACGGCCCTACTGCCCACATACGTTTTGGAGGCAGGCAGCAGAAACTTCTTCAACTTGTAGGCCAAAGCAATGACCTCAGGGAGCTGCACTGCACACTGATAGGTAGATAAGGACTTGGGTTTCACGTCTTCCACAGCCCTTGCCTACACTTTTCCTGCAGAAAGTCCAGTTTCTGTCTTTTGTGGGAGGGTAACGTGAATAATCCCCAAAGCATAAGCTAATACAAATATAGTGTACAAATTGTGTTCATTGATTTGTTGCATAGTATGGCTTTCCTTACAACTGTTGCCTTTTGGACCAGCACTCCAACAGAGTGATGGGCCTGGCCCGCATTCCTTCTCTCTGACTTCAGTGAGAGTTTTGCCTGGCTGAGTACTGCAGGATCATAGCCTAAGTAGAATTACAGTATTTCTGTACGAAAACCAAGGAGAAAGTGCCACATCTTTTTCAAGACTTTATTAAAATTATACAGCAGGTTGTCGCAAGTAATGACAGTATATCAGATTTTAATTCTGTCTGCGTTTACCTAAATGATATATGTGGCTCCTACATGATTTATTTTTATCTGAATAAACTGTAGTGTTGGGGGAAAATAAGCATCATATTTTATTGTTTAGTCTGAGAAATACAGCTAGGAGAAGTCACCCAATTAACAGGTTCTGAAATGCTTGGCTTGCTTAAAAGTGATGTCTGAGCATCATTAAGGATACTAATGCAAGACATGAAGGCGAAGAGGATGTATATCCTTTGTGTATGGAACTTACTGAGAGAACACATTTGGAAGTAGAAACGTCAAGAGAATATTGTCTAATGTTTTTTCCTGTCCCCAAATATATATGAATATTAGTCAGTCAGTATTTGGAAGGAATAGGTTTGGTTATTGAATAAACTTAATGCGGTTGACCATCTTAAACTGAACTGGATGTTAATGTAATTCCAAATGTGAATGGTGACATGCAGTACTTGGACTTCAAAAGCCTGACAGGACTGGACTGAAGGCATCTGGGGGGCTTAACTGTAAACAGACACAGAGTTGGATTTTTTTAGCAGCACTTTGCCCTGAGAAGCTCTTGCATGGTTGTCTGATGAGTCAGAAGAAACAAGCTGATACCGTGCTGTAGGTTTATATTTTAGAATTGTTGTAACTAAATTGAGTGTCTGTTTAGCAATGTATTTGTATAGGTGTGTTTATTTTCCCATTTTTTTTCTTTCTATAAAAGGTGCTTAATGTGATAGGGAGGAGGTCAAAGGCAGGTGTTTCTGTGGGGTAGAGTGGCTATGAGAAGCTTCCCATCATGGACCTACCGTTTCTAGATGTGGTGGTGGAGTCTGGCCCTTAGCATTCTTTCTTCAAACATCCCATAGATAGCCCATGTCACATTATGTTGTAGGTAACTTACCTATTGCATTTATCTAGCTGTTCCAGTCTAACATATGTCCGCTTCTCTCATCATATGTTGTGAAACATCTAATTGTTAGGGAATTCAAGAAGGGTTTTTGTTTAGATTTTAGCAAATTTTTTTGTTAATAAAATAAAACTAACAGCCCACAAAAACTTTTTTTCTATCTATAAGATTAAACCCCAATTTTTATGTAGTGTGTTTTGGGTTTTCTTTCTTTGGGGATGCCAGGAGAAGAGGATGCAACATAAATTAAGTGCAGTCTACTCTATATGCTAATTTAGTTGGGCCTTCTCAAAACAGCACCTTGGTAGCCAAAGTAAGAGAGACTGAAGGATGGTGTTGGGGGGAGAAATTACATTCCTTTAAAGATTTTCACAGGATTCTCCCTTGTGGGTTTTGTGCCTCCAGTATGAATCAAGTGAGAACTCCCTACATTCTATAAGCCTTTGGTTCTCTGAGTCAACCCTTCCTCAACCCTCTCTGAAAATGCTCCAGCTACAGGTATTTTAGAGGTCTTGAAATACTGTAGTCTGTTCCTGTCTGACATTGGCAGCCAATGAAGGATCTCCCTCCTGGAGTTGTACAACAGTTTCCAGCTACTGCAGTTCTGGCTTTCATTTCCCATCCTACTTGAGGTAGATGCCTAGTATCCTTTATAGGATAAGTTCCCTGGCATCTACTCAGGACATAAGACTTTTTAGTTTGTATTTAATCTGTTTATTTCCTTTTACAAAAGCTGCATTCACTCTTCCCCAGTATATCGTGTTAATCTATGTGTCAGATAGTTCTGTTCTTTACTATAGTTTCAACCAGTTTGCCTGGTACTGAAGTTAGGCTTACTGGCCTGTAAGTGCCAGGATTGCCTCTGGAGCCTTTTTGGAAAAAATGGCATTACATTAGCTACCCTCCAGTCATCTGGTACTGAGGCTGATTTAAGCGATAGGTTACATATCACGGTTAGTAATTCTGCAAGTTTCATATTTGAATTCCTTCAGAACTCTTGAGTGAATACCATCTGGTCCTGGTGACTTATTACTGTTTAATTTTCAGTTTGTTCCAAAACCACCCCTATTGACACCTCAGTCTTGGACAGTTTCTAAGAATTAATAGGAATATACCAAATAGCCGAGATATCAACGATCACTGGCACTGAAGACTGAGATGGATGATGTGGATTGGCACCAATGTTCCAGAGATACCCAGTTACATTGAAAACACCATGATGGCAGTGCCTAGCACTTAGGGAGCTCAGTGATGAAAAAATTACCTTCTATTGAGACTCAGATCTTCTGCAAGCCTTTCTACCTCTGTGCATCAGGTCTTTAAACCACTCTGAGTTTCCATGTTTCAGGAATTCCATCCCTGGATCAGTTTGTTCCTCAGTAACCTCATCCTTCTCCTTGAAAAATGAGAATTCTGTGACTTTCTGAGCACAATTCCTTCTCCTCTAGTGCCATGGCAGC